GGTCTCGCTCTTGCTCAGGCTGGCCTCGAACTCCTGAACTCAAACAATCCGCCCGCCTCGGCCTCCCAGAGAGCTAGGATTACAGGCGTGAGCCACCGCGCCCGGCCGCATTTAATAACCTTTGAAGAGCTTCCCTTTGCCTTTTAGTGGACTCCTCAGTGGGTGTGGCAGAGGTTTATTTTCCTTTTTCTGACTTTGCAATAAAAATAAACTAGGAGTCAAAGATACCAGCTCCTCTTTATGATGGAAACCTGAGACTTCCTGACGTTACTTCTCATTTGCAAGCAGGAACTCTCTCTCCAGGATCTGTCCAGTGGTCATCCTCCAATAACAACAACTACTCTTTCTCAAACACTCCGTGCAGGGCACTGTGTAGACACTTTATTACAGACATCCTTTAATACACAACCCCAGGAGGTAGCGATCTAGTATATTCCCATTTTATCCAGGAGGGAACTGAGGCTCAAAGAGGTTAAGTGACTTATCCAAAGTCCCACAGCTTGTAAATGGCAGAGACTTGGGATGAACTCCCTTGTTGTTTGCCTTCGTATGGCTACAGAACATTCCAGACGCAGGATTTTAGGTAATCAGCCTGTAACTGCAGGCATCTGGGCAAACAGGCAGTCTCACTCTCTAATTGCTATTCCTCTTGAGCTATTTCCTTGAGATCTGTCCCCAAGAGTGAGATCGGTGGACCTGAGGCACAGGAACAGATCATCTTCTCTGGCCAGGTTGCCTCATGGTTGCTGGGCTGATTCTCAACACCGGCGGCAGTGAGCAAGTTCCTGTTTCCCTACACACTAGCCTTGGTCCTCATCACTTTAACTGATTTTTGCCAAATTTGTTGGTAAGAGTTGGGGTCTTCTTGGCTGTGATACAGTATTTGCATGTCATTAACGACTATAAAGTCTAAAATGTTCCTAAGTATTTGACTGTTCTGCCAAGTGTCTCAAAGTTGTTGGCCATCTGTCCATTGGATGTTGGGCATTGCCCTCATAGATTTATATTTATTCTCCCACCTAATTGGGTCACTAAACTTACCATTTATATATTTTCCAGTCCCTTGCTTTTTTGTTGTTCTTGTTGTTTAGCTGATTGTCATAGTCCCTACTAATTTTAGTTAGAAAACTGTCACTTCTCCACAGTTGGGGTGCATATGTGTTTCTGTTTTCCCATAATCTTTGTAGCAGTTTTAAATGACGTAACCCATTTGAAATCAAGAAGAGTCTAGGGAGTGATGTACGGGTCTGATTTTAATTTATTCCACAGTTATCCAGTTGCCCCAGCAGTATTTATGAAATGATCAAATTCACATTTCATTGAAGTCTGGGGTTACCCTTCAGTTGACAGGTAAGAAGGGGTTTTGCCATAATGAGGGACAGTGATGGCTGATGCTTACCAACATCTGTGTTCTGCCTTCTTTTCTTCCATGGCACATGGCTAAAACATCTCCCAACCTCCTCACCATGTCATATGTTAATTGAGATAGCAGGTGAGGTGCTTGGCATATGTGAATCTGCTATAAAGTTAATTTCCTTCCCATTATTTCTTCCTCTCTCCCTCCTTGGACGGATGCGCCTGAATCTCCCCTTCTTATCTATTCCAGATTCCTGAGCACCTGGAGAGTGAAGATAGCCAGTTTATCTGACCCCAGCTTCTCCTTCTGCACGCTTCCACCAGGAGACCTTTCTGCCAGAAGTCAGGCAGCATGGCTTGGCTCTGGCCCACCTTGCAATCCCCAGTTTGGCAAAACCTTTTGGTTGTGTTAAAGTCTTTACAAAACGCACATGAGTCTCCCTTAAACAAAAAAATTGTATGTCACGCCTGTAATCCTAGCACTCTGGGAGGTCGAGTTGGGAGGATCGCTTGAGCTCAGGAGTTCGAGACCAGTCTGAGCAAGAATGAGATCCCCATCTCTAGAAAAAATTAGCCAAGCATGGTGGCACGTGCCTGTAGTCCCAGCAACTCAGGGAGGCTGAGGCAGGAGGATCACTTGAACCCAGGAGTTTGAGGTTGCAAGTGAGCTATGATGATGCCACTGCACTCTAGCCAGGGCGACAGAGCAAGACTCTGTCTCAGAAACAGAAAAATTGTATGAATTATTTGGGATTTCCTTGTTCTCGCTGCCCTTGCCAGGACCCACTGGTATGCCCTTTCCAGCGCCTCGCTACCTGAGCAGTACTGGGCCAGCAGGGGGAGCCTGTCTCTCTAAACAGTCTCAAGATGCCCACTGACTTCCAGAACATCCCAGAAGGTCAGGGTTCCTTCCACCTGGCTGCCTCTATGCCCGGGGCCAAGAAAAGCCCTCCTCCTTGGAGACTCCTCTGACGATTACTGCCTTCACGATGAGAACCAGGTAGCTGGTTTTCCCTCCGAGCCTCTCTTTTTCATCTGTTAGATGGTGATTAGGCTGAGGGGTGCAATGTGTTGAGCCTCCCTTCCCACGGCCAAGACTGGGCAGTACAGAGTACTGCAGCTAAGCAATGAGGCAGATCCGGGTCTGAATCTCCACTCAGCCACCCAAGAGCTCCATGATCTGACCTGGGGCGAGGCACTTCACCCCACTGAACGTTGGCCTCCTCATCTGTGTAGTGAGGGTAGTGGGACCAACCTCAGTGAGTAAATAATATAATGCTTCCAGCATGGCACACGCAATAAATATTCTCGATCAGCAAGAAAGCAAGAGAGAAAAGATGGCCTCAGGAGCCCCCTCCCATTTCCATGAGGCCACCTCTCACTTCCTGGAGAGATGGCTTGCTCTCCCCTCTCCTCCCCTCCTGTCTCACCCGTCTAGCTTCCAGGTAGGCCCCACTTCTCTCTAACCTGAGCCCTGCTGACACCCACTGAGCCCAGGTGCTGCCTCTGGAGTCCTTCCCCACTGTAATTTTCTTCCTGGTCTGTTCCCTTCCAGTTTCCTGCTGATTTTCCAACACCCTCCCTCCTGCTACTCTGTACTTCTTCGTAGTAACCTCAATGGTAATTAATTAATTACCTGTACAAGTATGTGTTTAATATCCATGTCCTCTACCACTAGCCTGTAAACTCCATGAGGACGAGAACTCCTCTGACTTCTTTCCTGCTAATTCTCCAGTGCTTGGTACTTAATAAATATCTGTCAAATTAATACGTGATGAAAGGCTATCTATTTTTCTTCTATGTCCCCTGAGGGCAGGGACTGCTTTATTGATCCATTTTCTTTACAGCCTGCAGAGAACCTGGTACGGAATGGGCAACACTGTTTGCTGAATGAATGAATGGGGACTGAACCCCCATTTTTCTTCCCTTCAGTGTAAATGCTCTCTTGGTCCTGACCTGCCCCTACCTTGCAGCTCCCCTTAACCCAAAAGCATAATAGGTGAGAAGAAAGAGAAATGCCTTCCACATTTGTAAGGAATTCTCTCTAGAAAAATAAGGTTTTCAGGAAATCTGCATGGGCCTCTCTACCCCATTTCCTGCAGAGGACACACCTACCTGGTCAAAAAGGGTGGCTTCAACAGGACCCACTTTTGGCACAGTGCATCTTCCCCTATTTTCATCAAAGCCGTTAATGCAAAGTTTTATACCACTCACAATACTGTGGTGGGCAGTGTTGTGTGCTGGTTAAGAGAATGGATCCATTTTTAGAATTACTTTGGGTGAATCACTTAATCTTTTTAACTTTTTCTTACTCATCTGAAAATGGGACTAATCTCAGTGGATTTCTTCTTGTAATAAAGGATAAATTCTTCACATTTAAACATTCCTGGAATTGGAAGACATCTTACAATCAATGTGTATATTTAATCTGGTTGTGTGTTTTGCCCCAAATGCCATCATTAAATTCAGAGAATATCTCAGCATCAATGACATTCTTGAAAGCTATGTCTTAAGGTGGACTATTGTCATGCACATTGCATTTTCTCACAGGCAGTCAGAAAAGTGAAGACATCTTCAAAGATCTAGCCTGGTTTTTAAAAGGTGACTTTGTGCTCTCTGGTATAAACCAGGCATAAACCCGCTGGGCACACCCTGGATTTCAATGAAGTGAGCAACCTGCACGTGAA